TAAGAAGCTTGTCAGACCCGGGCGGGCATGGCCGATCAACAAGAGTGAAAAATTGAAATCATTGATCACTCCCGTCGCGTCAAGAATCAGCCACTCATGTGATCGCAAGATCTAAGCGTTGTGGAACTCTATGAAACGGTCAATGTTTGTCGCAGACAGGGTCACATCGAGGTGGGAAACTGACATACGCGCTTGTTTTCCCCAAACTTTGCATTCGCACATTACTCGCTGGGTGGGTATTGGGCAGTCAAGGCATATATATACAGCCTACAAATTCGCCCCAGGCGTCCAGGCGGGTATCACATTCACATCGAACGGTGAACACTCTTCATCATTGCAGCAGTTATCTCAAATTTGCTGCTTTGCAAGACAGACTAAATTTTAATTGGCTTGGTCATAACGTAATGGTGCGTAACGACAAATAAGGTAGGGGAACTCTGACAGAGATGGAAAGCTATACATTTTGGACAGGTAAAGTGGGGAGGGGCAACTGAATAAGCGTAGATCTTAAAACTCACGATAGACTGAATTAGTGAACATGCCATGCCTCATCATGCCACTTGGTATCAAGGTTAAAGATCACTCTGTTAGACTATTAGATTATTGCTTATTATCAATATATAAAAGGGCAAAAATAAATCCTGGATTGTTGGTCCCTATACTAGCATTATAATTAATTTGAATTACAAATGTATTTCCCTGTAATTGTACTTTTATTTTATCTACCATCACAACAAAGATTGTCTGATCTTAGTGATCTTTTCTCACTCCTCCTTCCTGTTTTAACCACGTTGGCTCATTTTGATTCAGTCTTGTCCGCGAAGCCAGAGAGGACAGACGGGGGCTCTCGTGGCCTAGAGGTTAAGGTGTTGGCCTCTCATTCAAAGGTCCCTGGTTCGAATCTGGATAGCGACCAAAAACTTTTCTTCTCTAAAATTGTCTCCTTTCACCCCCTTTCCTGCTCTCTAGCAATGTTCTGTTGTCTGTTTTCTTTTCCACTTTCTGCCCCCGCCCCCTCACCTCCTTTGCCCCCTCCTCTGGGCTCCTAACTCTTTCTGCAGCCTTTCTACTGCTACTCCTTTTCATGGCTCCTCCTTACTGCTGTATTTCTGCCACATCCCTGATTTTCTGGTAGGAAAGATCTACACCTAGCCTTCTCGGACAAGGGCGAAAAATCTCAGAGGGCCCGTGTGCAAGTTGCGCACATTAAGATCCCTTGGTGGTCTAAAATCGATAAGAGTAGGCTTCGGCCGCCACCCAGGCAAAATTCAAAATTTCCTACCAACTGAAAATGATTATATAGTGTGCCCCGTGCGCTCGTATGAGCTTATACAGTTGAGAGCGCCGTAAAACACTTTACAAAAAACAAAACAAAACAAACAAACCAAAAGGACAAACCTCATATCATTTTCTTATATGTTAAATAAATCAACCTTCTTCATCAAGAAACAGTCTTTTATGCTTTTGCCTTTTTAATTACAATAGGCAGCCAACCTCAGTGCAACACGTTACACTCTTTGCTCGTCATATGTAATAAACCCACCCATTTTAGAGTGAATGGAAACCATTTTGATTAGCCTAGCGGTTGTGGATCACCGTGGATTCTCCCCTTGGTGCGTCGACTAAGATTTTCCTTGCTCCCGCGCACCGGGCTCTTATGCGGAGAGACTACTGACTGTAGGCCAACAGCTTTTTTGAAAACACCCAAGCAAAGATTCATGATTCATGACGAACCATGATCGCTGAAGAAGGCCATGTCGCAGATATGGCACGTAGATGATGGTAGATCTAGTCGAACAAAAGTTAATTTTGGCTTCTGCTCTTCATAAATCTAGTAGAAATATTTCTGAGATAACAGAGCGTTATGCGTTTACATTTTTCTTTCTTTCTATGATCATTCATCGAACAGTGTGTAGCCTATGTAGGCTATTTGGTTAATTCTGGTATTTAGTTAGAGTATATCGAAACACCTGGAGATAAGGGCAGCTACTCGCGCCAACTTTGTTATGATTGCTATCCTGATCACGATGAAAACAAGCAGAAAGAAGGGGTCACTGTATTGCTTGTTTCACTTTTAAAAATAAGTAAGAAGTCATGAGGCACCCACTGCTTTTCATTTTTTTTTATTTCGCCTTTTTCTCTCACCTATGTTTATGCAGAAGATCTAGATCTAGAATCTAGATCTAGATTCTTGCTGTTGCAGATCTTTTCCCCGTGTATAATTTGGCACAGTGGGCTGAGTGGGCGGGAGTGGAGGAGAGTCTGGCCTGGAGTCTGGAGACTCGGACTGCAGAGAGTGAGAGTGAGAGTCAGGAGGGTTCTTTACTTGAGACTAGATCCAGATCTAGATCTAGACTGCTTCTGGTGCTCTTGTGTAGTGTCCACTAAACAGTAACCCAAGTAAAAATAGGAGCAGCATCCACCACCAAACACCAACTTAGACTTAACTGCTTGTGTTATAATAGACATTCCTTCATAAATTAGGCCCTAGATTCTACTTACTTTTTCCCTCTTACAGACAAGACCAAGGTCTCGGGGAGATCATGCAATTGTCGGAGGTGGGCCAGGTGTTTTGCTGTTTGGGGATTGTCATGTTGTTCATCAGGAAGGAATCTTTGACTCCATTGATCCATCTTTTTCTAGGCCTTCCCTTTGCCTTGAAGTCATCGAATTACCATCGCATATAATATTATAGATTGTAGGCCTGTTGTGTCTCCATTCTCACACTTTTTATCTGTGGGTGGTTGGCAGGTGCTCTGGTGTGGTTTGCTTCTTCTTTCCTATCAGACATCTATCGTCCTTATCTCCCCTTCTTCATTTTTATTTTTGTTGCTCTCTTGTAACACCTAAATCTTCTGACGCTCCATGACCTAGTTGCGAGCGCCGTAAAACTTCTACTAAAAGTAACTAACTAAAAACATAAATTTTAAAATTGTTTCTTGATGTAGGCTACTGTATTTCTTGATTCTTGCTCAATTGAACGTCCACTCTATGTCTAATGAGATGATGTCTTCTGAGTCTTTGTAATATCTGTCTTTTCTTGTGATTTTTCATATTTTTTAAGACATTTTATTTCATTTGCTGCTATTATGTTTTGCTGTGCTTTGTCGAGGGTCCAGGTTTGACGCTGATAGCAGAGATCAGTTGGTATAAAGATGAGTTGTTTCTATGAAGATGTGTTGATGGGAGAGGATGGGTAATAGTTGTTACGTGATTGCATTTGCCTGTTGTACTCATGTTTCTATTTCTCTGTCCATTTTCCTATTTGATGTGAACAGGCTTCCATGGTATTTGATTTCTTGTACTACTTATTTTAGTTGTGTGTTGTTGATTCCATATTTCTTTTGTATGCTTTGTTCAGTAATTCAGTATGATGTTTTCTTGGAAGCTGTCCTGGTTTTGGTGTATAAGACTCTGGTCATCAGCGAAGAGCAGTTCTTATTGTTTTGAGTTGTTGTTTGCTTCATCTTGTGACATATCTTGTCCATGTTGAATATGATGAGTAATGGTAATAGGACACAGCCTTGTCTGACACCTGATGTTACTTTGAACCAGTCAGTGTTCCCCTCGCTAAATCTTACACAACTCAAACTATTCTCATTATATACACTTTGATGTTACTATACTAAGGAGTAGGTCTTTCACTCTTAATTCTTTCAAAGTCTGAAATAGCCTGCCCCTGTCGACTCGGTCAAATGCCTTCTCCCGATCCACAAACACCATGTCCAGGTCTCTGTTGTGTTTTATAGCTCAGACAGATACATGTTTCTCATTGTGAAGATGGCGTCTGTACATCCTTTTCCCTTTCTAAATCCAAACTGCGTGTTGCTGAGGTTTTTCTCTACCATGCATGTGTCTACATCCAAGTATTTTGATATGTATCTTTCCAACATGGTTGAGTAGAGTTATTCCTCTCTATGTACCATACTCTTTTTTGTTGTCTGTCTTTTTCTTATCTCACTCAGCCCTGGGGCCAAGGATACCTGGTCTGCTAGCTGTGCCTAGTGGTTTTAGATGTTTTTGTAACTTCTGGAAAAGTGCTAAATCGACTTCAATCGCTGTATTATTTCACACACACTTTGTTTAGTCATTACATGTATGGAGCATTACCGTTTACAGAATTTGAAAATGTTTGATAGTCTGTGAGGTATTGCCATTTGAAAAAGGTCAGCAACATGCACTAAAAGTGGCTCGGATGAAAGACCATCTCATTTCCCACTTGGTTACTATGTGTTAAGTTATTTTCAATTGTAGGTCAAGAAAGCAACCTTTGCCCTTGTAATAGTTTGTTTCTGATAAAGAAATGGTCAGGGGTCATGTATAAAGTATAGTCTGTTCCTATTTGATGTGTGTTTATGTTATTAAGCGGTAGAAATTTCCATCCCAATACTGTCAGGTTCAGGACCCAGTGCTGATGTGCACAGCCCGACTATCTTGGGCTCTGGGCTAAGTGAGTTAATAAGTAGTACAGTACTGTTTTGCCATTTTTCAGGGTTTCGTGTTTGTTCCGTACATAAATAGCCACCCTTAACAACACCCTTTTCTTCTCACGGCGACCCGTGCACTGTTTATCAGCTATTTAGAAAAAGTGGATTTACTTAGAATGTGATGCATATATATGCATTTCTTTGAGGATAAATTTTTAGTGAACAAATTTATACAACAAGCGTGTATAGCAGTGTAAAATATGCATTCATGAGTATGTCAGGCTTGCTTCATGGTTGTTCTTTGATTTTTTAATTTTGAAAGGACCACTATGACCCACATAAGAAAAGTTACCTGAAGGAAACTACTCCCTCCCCTCCCTCCATCGTTCGAAGATGGAGAATGACATGAGTCCAGCTGTGGAACACCACCCTCAAGAGTCATCCCCAGATGGTCTGTTGGTGGTGGGTCGTAAGACTCCCTGTATCGTCAATCGTAAGCTCTTGCCCGTCAAAGGATTCTACTTCACATTTATGTCAGGTATGATTCACCAGTCAAGAAGCTTGAAGAAGTGATTCAGCTGTGCTTTGAAATGTAACTACCTTTTAAGTTTGTCAAGTATTTATTTTGATTTAATCTCATTTACCATATGGGTCTGTGTCCACAATTAAAGCCTACCTGAACCCTTCTGCGCACTGAACACATTTTTCAGCATGCGTTTGGGTAAATTTGATATTGAAACCAAGGAATCTTAAGTGCATAGATCCTGTAAGCTTAGGGAATCAGGGCTCACAGGTTTAAAAAAGCTTGTTTAGCTTAATTGTATTTGTATAGAATCTCTTACTCTTTGAATTATGTAAATGCCTTATTAGTTCGGCTTCCATGTTATTGTCTTCAATGGAAGCAAACTGTTTAACAATAATTCATTTTTTGTAGCTTACTATGAGTCGGCAACAACTTCTACTAACTTGTTGTACTATCTACGCTCCTCAGCTGTGGGAGTCTTGCTGCCATTTATTGGACTCTACATGCGGCACTTAGGACTGAGTTTCCATGAGACAGGGATCATATATGGGATCATGCCGTTTGTCAGTTTCTTTGTGCGACCAGCTATTGGGGCTCTGGCTGACAAACTGAAACGTCACAAAGCAGTACTTATCCTTACAACCATTTTAACAGGTATATATGTTGAATTCTTTTGTCTTGACAAGACCTAAAAATGTATGCATATTATTCCCATCAAACCTCGTTATACTGTCAACCTTGGGACATTCATGAAGTTGAAGGTAAAGAGGAAGTGGAGCTGTTGGTATAATGAGGGGTGGGGTGGGGTGGGGGTGGGGGCGCTAATGCTGATCTCTGTTAAATAGCCCTTACTGCCCAACGTTAAGGGATATGATTCTGCTGTGTAATCTGTCTTTGAAAATTGTATTTTTTGGTGAATTACAATTACACATATTTAGAGCTGAGGGTGTTTTCTCTCTCTTTCTCTCTCTCTCTTTCCCTCCGTCTCCTTCTTTCTCTCTCTCTCTCTCACTCTCTCTCCTTTCTCTCTGTCTCTCTCTCTCTGTCTCTCTCTCTCTCTCTCTGTCTCTCTCTCTCTCTCTCTCTCTCTCTGTTTGTTTATATGTTTGTGTGTGTTCAAATTCAAAGTGAAAATTGCATAAACTGCTGAATCAGAGCCTAGCAGATGCATGGTGTCTGAAATTTTCAAGACAATGCAATGGTGGGGAGGTAGATGGGCATGGGTGGGGAAAGTGCGAATAAGCAACCAGCGCTCTCTCACAGAGTCATGTGTGGTAGAAGGAGAAATTATCACCAAGCAGTTACCGAGTGGGTGCTGTCTGTAGTGTGTACCACCGATGACCAGTTCGCTGTCGGTGGTGCGGGCAAATTACGTTAGTAAGGACCGTACAACTCAAGACAGTTGGTGGATGGCAGTTTAAAGAAGCAAGTAGTATCTTTCATGCGTTGGCAAAACGTTTGGGAAATGGTATTAGTGGAGTGGTCTTACAGGAGTAGTATAACCAGTTTGACTGTACTTTTGTTTATCAGACAGAAGAAATATATCTTAGAAAATTATGTGGTCGCTAATATGAAAGACCACTCCTTTTTTTTGTAAGTCTTACAATCATATATATCCCGAAATCAGTGAAAAGTTTTTGTACAAATACTTCTCATTAACAGTAGTTATGATTTCATCTGTTTCTTATCTTATATATTGCTCTAGCTCTTGAGGAGAGATATTAAAAGGAAAAAAAATATTTAAGTCTCATATAAAGTCATCTGTGTGTGCTAATAGAAAGAGGGAAAATCAGAACAAGGGACAATTAAGACGTTTACAAAGTGCATGTCAATTTACAAGGATAGTGCAGGTGTAAGAATGGTGCCTTCTCTGACCTTTTCCAGAAATGTATTACTTCATCCAATCGTCATATTCTTTTGTCTTTTTTACAGGAATTTTTTACTTCGTCCTGGTGTTCGTCCCATCCCGTCCAGCCCCTCCCAGCCTTTCCATTAGCACGAGCATCCAGTGCAACACTCAGGACTCTTTTCTACAAGACTGTAGCGACGAGAATTCTCAGGGACAGTGCCAAGTAGGACTCAGTTACTTCAACAATGTGACGCACTTGCATAAGGGAAACAAGTCACGGACATGCACTTTTTCCTGTACAGTTGAAGATTCCTCTTTACCTCAGTTCCAAGCATGCTTCACCAATGAGACAGGGCCTTACAACAGTCTTCGCTGCAACGGCACTCTCACCCACAGTAGCCATTTAAACTTTGCTGTCCAAGACTTGAAAGCCGTTCTAGCCAGCGAAATTCCCAGAGACAGATATCATGTGGATTCTGTCACATGTCGTGACTACGATCTGAAAGATGTCTTATTTCTAAAGGATTCAAAGCATGAAGCTAGGCAAATTCTTTGTGAGAGAGAATTATCATTGCAGTGTAAAGTCAGTTGTTCTCAGAATTTGGATTGTAGTAAGGATTCATCTTTTGACAAAACTTTCTTTATTTTTTTCTTTCTTTTTCTACTCGCAAATATTCTTTTTGCCCCACTCTTCCCGATTTTGGATGCTGCAGCATATGAAAATTTAGGTGAAGATGGCCACCGATGGGGCCAGCAGCGACTGTTTGGGACTGTCGGCTTTGCCATTTTCGCAGTGACCTCGGCCTTCATCATGGACCTCAAGTCAGACAGTAAACACTTGGATTTCTCTGTGTCATTTTACCTCTTCTTGCCACTCTGTGCTGTCTCTTCCATCATCGGCAGCTGGATACACATGTCATCAGACATTGTGTAAGTATGATAACGAAAATGATGATAATTGTAATAATAGTAATAATACAATAATTTTAATAAAAGGAAGAAAAAAAAAGAAGTGGAATTGTTATTACAAGATATGGACCCGTGATACGAACGGTGATTTAGTGATAGGAAATCCCAAGATGTTTGTACCTGAATCATTGCCGTAAGACTTCTGTTGTAGACAACATTGTTGGTATATATGCGCCATCTGGAACTCCTTCCTGCTTGCATGTATTCTAATAAGAGTCTCTGAACCCCTCATATGTATAGGTACAGGTGTACTAACTTTGCCATTCTATGATTCTGGCAACAGAATGTGTTTCTCTCTTCTCTCCATCTTATGGCACTGCAATGTTCATAGACGACACTTAATTCACAACTGTCATGTGTCCATAATCTCCGATCAACTTCAGTTTCACTAAAGGACTGTGCATTGCACGCTAAGGCCAATATCGGCCCATTCTTTCTTGGCCTAGCACGCTCAAGGTCTTCCTCCAGATTTTGACTATTAGAACGTTAATTCTGATTGATAGTCACCTTTCTCCGTTTATTCTCGCTTTCAACTCTGTTTCATGGGGTTAAACAAACTCTACGTTTAGGGGACATCTTACTACATTATGAACTAAAATTCCATGGCCAACTCTACTCCGAACAGATCTCGATCTAGATTCTCTTCTTTCTAACTACTCAAAATCTGTCTTGAATTTTGTGCTCCAAATACATCACGGATATAGATATCTAGATCGAGAGCCTTGCTCTATAAAAAGCTACACGGAAAATACGCTCCAACTTTTTAAAATGTCAATACAACGAAGTGAACATTATGCGGGTTTAAACGAACTCAACATGTTGGGGACATCACTACACCAAATATATATAGAAAAAGTCAATACAATGAAGTTTGACCTAAAGTCCCCGTTGACACTGCGAAGCATACATCAAAATTGAGTTAGATATCGAGAATCTAGACCTTGAAACAGTAGAAGCAGCTTTGTAAACACGAAGTAGAACTCTGTGGCGCACACACAGCAAAGCACAAAGGGCCTTTCTGTTCTTGCTAACTACTCCAAATCAGTCTTGCACTCTGTGCTACTAATACATGTAGGGTATAGAGAGATCTAGATCTAGAGTCTTGCTCTATAAAAACTACTCGCCAAATTTTGAAAACATCAATACGCAACGAAGTAAACCTTTTGTGGGTTTAAACGAACTCAACATGTTGGGGACATCACTACACCAAATACAATGAAGTTTGGCCTGGAGTATCCATCGACACTGCGAAACACACATCCAAACAGAGTTGGATATAAATATTCTACATCAGGAAAAGTAGAAGCTCAAAAGTCATCCCAAAGATCCCACCCTGGAGGACTAAATCCCACATATCAGATAATAATTTATGGAACAAATAACGCATGCGCTTGCAGCTGATTGACCAAGGAGCAAAAATTTTCAATCATTGTACTGGCTTTTTTCTCAAGAATACGATCGCATATCGGATGTAAATCTTGATGAGTGAGTGCGATGTTTGCCTCAGAGACAGGATCACACTGGTGTGTGAATTCTTTGACTCATTTGTTTTCCCAAACATCACACTCACATTTGAGACCTCTGTCTGAACTATCATCACAAGATGGGTGGGTTGGGCCCACAAGGCTGCATCAATTGGGCCCACAAGGCTACATCAGATGGGATCACATTGCACTGTGAACCCTTCGGTGCTTTTGTGTCCCCGACCATCGCACTTTTTTTTCAGCTCTGGGCCTGAATTTGCAAGACAGACTGGTGCCCATACTCAGAGACTGTCCATTTGCCTTTGCATAATATGGTCATCTGTTGGCACTGAGCTTGTGTTTCGTTCTTCAAATTTTAATTGAGCAATGAACTTGGTCAGAGATGGAAAGCTGAATTTTTGACAGTTGGGATTGACCTCGATCTTGAGACTCATGATCAAATTAGTAAAAATAGCATGTCTCATCAAATTAAGATGAAACCATTGTTGTGATTAGTTGTCAGGGTGAAGCTCTCTTTTCTGGCCACAAGATCTGTTAACCGAACCCTTTGAGCCCTAGCCATCGGTAGACCGGTGGCGCTTGGAACTGCCCATATACCTAGCCTTCGGTACACTGATGAACGAGACCTTATCTCCAACCCATCTAGCCTGGGACTAAATGCACACAGAAAAGGTTTACTACACAGGATGTTATTGATTATTTTGAAGATCTTTCTGAATTAGATGCTGGTAATGATGACGACTACCCTGAGTTGGATATGGAAAGTGATTCTGATGATCTTATATGGATGTTAATAAATTATCGCTCAAAAGCTCATGCAGAGAGGCACGATAACATCAGGAGGTCAGAGTTAAAAGGATTAATACTTACAGGCCACATCAGTTCATTTCAAAGTAAGAGGGGATCATTTAGTGATTTTGGGCCTGACCTTGAGTCACCGTGGATTTCCCCCCTGGTCAGTTATAGATTGAGTATCTCCATCTATCTGCTGGGATACTGTGTCTTGCTCAGCCCAGGTTGGCACTGACAGGTGTGGTTAAAGCAGCTTGAGTACTAAATGATCCAGATTGTATCAGGAGGGGTCATAAAACAGTACAATGAATCAGTCAATCAGTAAATAAATCGGTGGAGCTTTCAAGACGATGCAAGCAAGCCAGCATGAGTTTCTCAGCTTTGAGATGTATCTGATTTAATGCCGCTGAGGATAGATACCCGTTGAGAGCCTAACGCAAAAAATCGACAACAATGATAATTGCAATCAAGTGCATTTGTCTCCCTTGCTGAGATTTGACAGTGGTCCCTTCCTCACCCCCTTTCTCCCTGGATTTGAATGTTGTTTTGATTTTTATTTCCATGTTTGTTTGTTTTTACTTTTGAGGCTTCTTTAAAAAATTCAAAATTATATCTTTCCACAGATGCGGAAAATTCCTGAAGAATATTTGGAACGCCCTGAAGTACATGCAAGTCCTTGCCTTTCTCTTTTTGGTCACCTACTTTGGCATCCTGACTGGAGGCATTGAAGCCTTCCTGTTTGTGTTCCTCAATGGTCTTGGGAGTTCTCCGCTCTTGTTTGGTTTTGCACTGTTGGTGAACTGTAGTGCTGAGGTAAGTTGTTTAACCCTTTCTTGTTTTATAGGACAAAAACAACAAGTCCCAGCTAAGGTCCATTTGGTCAAGGTTAAGCCCAGGGTCTGGGATCAGAATTCTGATGGTAAAGCTCTTTCACCCTTTGCTGCTGCGTGCAGAAGACTTGATTCCATAACTATATTGGGAAGTTACTTTATTGAGTATCTCCGTCACTTCTTCTGGGACACTGTATCTCACTCAGCCCGGTTTGGCCTTGTCAAGCGGTTTGAAATAAACCTAGACCAAAATGATCTAACCTGTGTCAACGAAGGCTTACAAAATTTATAATCATTTATGTTTAATGTTAACACAATAGGTTGTATCCAAGATAACCGTAACATTTTTAATATTAATACGTGTTTGTAGGGTTTACAGGGAGTGTGATGGATGTCTGTGCTCACAGGTGTATACATATATGATTTTCAAGAAATTGTAGCATAATCGTGAGATTGCAGATTTGGGAGTTCGAGGCTCAGCTCAGTCTCAGTTTGTGTCCTAGAGAAAGGCATTTTATATGATTTTTCCATTTGGCTTAGTCCTATGTGAGATGGGCATTAAATACTAAAATAGCGTTTCAGTATTGCATGGGGCATTTTTAAACCTATACAATTTTGCAGTTTGACTGTGAAAAAGCAGTCCATACAATTTATTTTATTTTCTCTCTGTATTTTTGGGGTTTAAGATTTCCTTAGGTGACGATTTGCTGCGAAAGGCAATGAAGACCTCCAAAAAGCTTTTTTTCCCCTTTACTTTATTTTTTAAGGTGCCCATGCTATGGATGTCTGGGTCTATCATCAAGCGGTTTGGCTATGTATGTTGTCTGTATCTGGTCCTGCTGTGCTACGCCGTGCGTCTTCTGGTCTACTCTGTGGTGGGCAACCCCTGGCTGGTGTTGCTTGTGGAACCTGTGCACTCAGTTACCTTTGGTTTGATGTACGCCTCGGCTTCCTCATATGCCAGCGTCATCGCCCCGCCTGGCATGTCGGCCACATTGCAAGGACTGCTGGGAGGCCTTCATTTTGGAATAGGTTTGTTTGTTGTTTTAGTTTGTTATTCTTAAAAGCATCTTTTGAGTTGCGTTGCGGTATGTATTATTTAATGATTAGGATCTCCCTTGTTACATGCACAAGACAGGAGTTTGATTCCCTTCTGGGGAATCTGTTTTATTTAGTATGTTCTTCTCTTCTCTGTTGAGGCACTGTATCCATCTTAGTCCAGGTTGGCCCTGACGGGCAGTGTTGAAGCAGCCAATATTGAAATGATCAAAATTGTGTTGACAGGGTGCATGAGACACTGGCAATCCTTTACAATTGATTTGAGTTGTGTTGTTTTCCTCTTTCAGCATTCTGTCAAAATTATCTAAGATGCCCACCCATTTTCAAGAAGAAAAGTAGTTGTCTTAGACAGGTGGATGTCTTGGACAGTGTCAGTATAATGTAGAAAAAAAAATGCAAGGGGGATAAGTGAGAACTGGTAATTTGTACAGGTGATTGTCTTGGACAGGTGGCAGTTAGAGCAGGTTGGACTGTATTGTGGATTGCTTGAATGTGGGAATCCACCACTAGAGAGGTTGACTTTCATATCATCATAAAAACTGGTTCAGCTTTTTAAGTCTGGCCCCCTGAGTCTTTTAGCAACTGTGCACCTGGGGTCCTTTAGGTTGACTGCAAGATTTGCCCCTCAATAAATACAGTCGAAATTGTCCAAGACATTAGCCCATTGTTGAAGAGAAAAGTGATTGTCCTGGACAGGTGGTTGTCTTGAACATTGTCATTATAATAAACAAAACAAAGCAAGGGGAAAGTGGGAAGTGGCTTTTGTACAGGTGATTGTCTTGGACAGGTGGCGGTTACAGCGAAAAAAAGGCCCAACTGTATACTTTTTTGTGGCTGTATTTTGGGAAGACTGGAGATAGAGGGAGGGAAAGAGGCATGGAGATAGAGGGGAGGGACAGAGGCATTTTCTCAGATTTCAGTTATTGTAAATTGTAGCTGCGGCAAGAAAAATGAATTACTCTTATTCTTTTTTACTCACACCCTACAACAGGGTCAGAGTTATTGAGTTTTAATCATTGTGTGTGTTTGCAGGAAAAGGAATTGGCAGTCTCATCACGGGATTCATGTTCGAAGCCATCGGGCCGAGGTGGACATGGGGGGTTTTCAGCATCATCTGTGTAATCCTCCTGGTCTTCTATGTCATCCTCAACATGTTTGTGTTCAAGTCTTTCCAGCACCCACCTGCCCACAGACAAGGGAGTGGACAAGGTGGGTTCTTTTTTCTGTAGTTTTAATGTACAAAATGTGGCAAACTTTTCTCAGCCACAATTGGTCTCATCAGCCACAGCAGAAGCCACAAGTCATTGTAACCTTTAACCCTTTCGTTGCCAGAGGGTATACGTTCCTACTGTCAGCATTGATTTACAGCTCAGCTCATTATCCACACGGCGCACCGGCAGTGGAATTTTAGTTGCCGCGGGGGGTTCCCCGCCGGGCGCCATATCACGTCGGGGTCACGGGGGTCAGCTCCCTGTCGCCGCTCTGTCTGGGCCTACCTAATTTTTGGTACTTTTCAACGTACAATTTAAGGTGTATCCTTGTATTTATGGTAATTCTCATTTAGTGCATCCAAAGCACGCATTTCTGCTCTTGAGACTCAAAAAAGAACGGACGTTGTAACTTGTCTGGTTATTTCGTTAGACGCGCTGGAGTCGGCAATGCTAAATTGTAATTTTTTTTTGACCAGCGTGAATAAAAAAAAATCAATATAAAAAAAAGGCATTGTCAAAATCTGTCGAACTTTTGGAACATGAACAACATAACATTGGTGCAGATACTCAGAAAAGATGGTTTCTGCGCTTACAATAGAAGGCTGTAATTTTACAATTTTATCCATCGGGGACACAATTCGCTATGAAGTAATTCCTCCAAATACAACTTTATGTGTCTAATATAATCGTGAATATTCGCATATTTTCTCGAAAGTTTATAAAAGTTACCATGAAGTTTCTGTATGAAAAGTACAAAT